TCAAGTGATCCTCCTGCCTCTGCCTCCCAAGTAGCTGGGACTACAGGCAAGCAGCACTATACCCAGCTAAATTTTTTTTTAATAGAGTTGATATCTTACCGTGTCGTCCAAGCTGGTCTGCTAGGTCACTGCCTCCTTTTCAGCTCTAGGTGGCACCTTAACCTAAGAATTGCCTGTTCTAGTAAAGGATAGGAGCACTGCTTTTCCCAAATGGAGGAGATCCCAAAGGGATCCTGGTAATGTGGGAAGGCTAGCTAGGGGTTTCTGCCCATGGGACCTGTGGGACAAACCTCCAAGAATGTGGTGTTGCTGAACAATCACTCTGATTTGATGTCTCCTTTGACTGGTTTATAGAGCACAGTTTCCAGAACTGGGTATGGTAGTCCCACCTACTCCCTTTGCCTGTCCTCAAAAACAAATTTCACTTCAGGCACTCTTAATTTTTCCCATGAAGATGCTTCCCCTGCCAGGAAACCCAAGATGGTGGAGAAGCTGTTTTTAAACCTCAATATCACTTTTTCCATTGTAGAAACAGCAAGTTGGTGGAAATTTTTCCATGCACTTGGTGCTGGGCAGAATGCGGGGAGGGGTATCTCAGAGGTGGAAGTCCAATTTTCTTAACATCTGCTCAGAGTTTTTTTTCACTTCTCTGCATCCCTGGGAACTGTCTCATATTATATTTGAGTTACAGGACATTTCTGTCAATAAGCTCAGAGTTGTACATTTGTTTTTGGTTTTCTGGGTTGTAGTGCGTGGGGAATGAAACCAGCATCCTTCCATGCTGTCATTTTGGTACTCTATGTAACTATTTTTTATTTGTCCCTTCTGTTCTATATTTCTTTTCCTTTGCTTTTGGTTTTCTTTTAGATTAAGATAGGGGGTAGGTCAATAATTTCTATATTTTTTCTCTTCTTTTGGTGTTTTCTTCTTCTTTTAGTGTTTACCATATAGATTTTCAAATGCATCCTTGACACATCAAAATTTAATGTAAACCAGTATTCCTACTGAAAATGTATTATTGTTTTATGATTCCATATTTGTTTAGGCTAACTCTCATATTTACCTTTCTCTTTCCTTTTCATTGATTTTTGCTCCCCAAGCTGCCATCTAGAATTTTTTTTATGTCTAAAGAATGCCGTTTGATATTTCCTTTAATGTTCATCTGAAAAATGTCCTTATTTTGCTTTTATTTCTGAAGAATATCGTTTCTGGACATAGAATTCTTCTTGGAGTTCTTTTCTATTAATACTTTGAAAATGTTATCTCATTGTCTGTTGGCTTCCTTAGTTCAATTTGAGGAGTTACCTGTCCATTTTCATTGGCATTGCTTAGTAGAAGAAAATCGTTCTCTTTTTTCCCTTGTTTTTTCCCCTCGTCACATTTTACCTTTGTCTTTGCTTTTGTATGACCTTACTGTAATATGCCTCAGGTTTTAGGGTGCTTGTAGCTTTGGGACTTCTGGACTAGATATCCTTTGTCAGTTTCGGGAATCTTTTATTACTATCTCTTTAAGTATTTTACTGCTCTATTCTATGTCTTCTGATAATTTTATTACACATATTTTCACATTTTAACTATATTTCATACACTTTTTTCTGTATTTTTTATTTTTCCCCCTCTGTATGTTTCGGTCTGGTTATGTCCTTTGTATCTAACTCCTAGTTCAACAATTTTCTCTTTAGTTGTGTATAATTGGTCATTTAACTCATCTACTAGCTATTACTTTTTAAAATTGTAATCATTAAACTTTTTATTTATAGAATTCCTATTTTTTTATAATATTGTCTATTTTGATATTTTCCTTTCTGTATTATAATTACTTGAACTATTTTAATAGTCATTTTAAAGTTCATGCTTGAATTTTCTTTGCTTATTTCAAGTGCCATTTCCCCCTTGATTTTTAGTGAAGTCTTTTAAAATATCTTGTTATTTCTGATTGATTTATGAACATCATTGGTGAAAATTTGTAGAGCTAATTTGAACCTCTGGATGAAGTTATTTTCCTCCAGAGAGGTTTTTACTTCCAACATACACTAAACTAGTAGCATCCAAATAACTTTAATTTACTCAGGGATTAAGTTATTTCAAAGCTAGTTCTCATTCCCTTTGATGATCAGCTATTTCTTTTTTTTTTTTTTTTTTCTTACTCTTTGGAGTCCCAATTGAAAGCTTGGGATGTTTATCAGGGCCTCGTCTCCTTTGCTCTTTTGTAATTTTTG